TACTAAAGTTTCGGAGGTCATACTGCCTCCGTCATCAGGGCGACACAGCGCAACAACCCAGAAGACAGAAATCTTTATACTCACCGCTGTGATAACCTCAAACCTTACATAAATTATTTATCTCGGAAGTTTTGTAGTAAATTACTTAGGTAGGCAGTCGTTTAATGCTGTGCCTGAAGCCCAATTATGCATGTATTTTCATGAAGTATCACATGGCTTGTATAGCGGTGGTTGTGGATTACTACACCCTGTGTCCACAAAGGGGAGTCTCCTCATGAGAGCTTTGTAAACACCACAAGACAATCAGGAGCCCGCCATTATCACACGCCTTAAAACTACTGCCCGATAACGTTCAGTTATACAGTCCGCTGAAAAAGTCATGTCCGAACATTTAAAATTCTCATTCTACGAGGTATCTCGCGTAAAGGCACTGACCAGTCTGTGAGAGGCGTCTGATGACAAAAGATCTCTAAAGGAAAGATTGGAAATATGAACTCTTTGTGGAGTACACCGACATTCCAAACGCATTCTTCGCGTTATAACACTCAGGTTTTCGTCGTTCTGATGTGATCCTTTGTCATTCCTACAAAACAATGTGCCTCAAAAGTAACAACGCACAATGGCCGTAGGTGCATTAATGTGATCCAAGGTGATCATTACGTAACCATACGGTCCATCAATGAACACTCGGCTTGCGGGTTGCCTACCTCATAAGAAATACGCGAAAGGACAGACATGGACGGTCACGCTAGAGCGTGAAGAACGCCTAAATGCCTGCAACCTGTAAGGAGTTAAACGTAAACCGATTCAAGGAATACTACAAAGTGCTTGTGAGACAAGCTGTTGATTTCACGTGATGTGCACTCCTTTATATAATTCACTCTTATTAAATATGTTATCTTTTTTCTACCATACATCACCATAAAATTTCAATCATTAATACAACATATTTATACTATTAAAAAAATTAATTAATAGTCTGTGTTTCTATAAACTTCTTGTCTGTTTTGAACGTCTTGTATACTTTATCCTACTTGCTACTGTGGTTATCTCTCATTAATTCTTGTACGCCATTATGTTCTTTCCAACCCTTATTTCAATATACCGGGTTTGATATTCCTTTCGACGTATTACCTTCTGTCTTGTACCTATCACGTCTAACTTTGAAATATATGTGGCTATTTAATATTATAAATTATATTAGTAGATATGGGGTGAGGTGTGTGAATGATAAATTGAAAATACAGTAATGTTGAACAAACCTTTGTAAACTTTGTGCAAATAGCGCATACATAAATTATCTGGACATGCGTGGTTGACTAGACGTGACATTCAATTACGGACGACATGATGATGCCATACTGTGAGATACGCTACTCACTAGCCTGTCTTCAACAACGTGAATCCTGTGGACACATTATCAACCTGTTTGTTCATAAAACCGCGATACAGTCATAAGAACATATGTAAGCGATGTTTGCACAGAGAGTAAACAGTACACATAATGAGCGGGCCATGGCCACAACCTGTCCTCTATTTCATCTATAAAACTATTAAAGTGAATTTTGGCGCTTTGATAAACTCTAAAAAATCCTCGAGAGATTTTAATTTCGATTCACATACGCCAAATATTTTAGAAACATGGTAAAAAAGTCAGAATTTCATTCATGAAGAATTTAAGAGGAGCTTAATTTAAATAAATTATTACTATAGCCATATTATTAACTTATTATGTTTAATTTTTCCCATTTTATAACTGAAATCGTAAAAGTTAAAATTCCTGAAATTATTATTATTAACAGTAGGTGTGAAACATAGGCTCTCGCAAAGTGGAAAAAGGCAGGCTGAGTAAATTTGTTGACACAAATATTTGTAGCAATGACGGCAAACGAATAGGAGGCTGATAAAATTTCATAATTAGAAGGTCCAGGTGAAGAATTGTATTCCGAAAACTTGAAGCATAATGGAAACTTGGAAGGCCCGAGTGTACGTGGGAAAATGAATCTTTGGATTTAGTAAAAGACGAGGAATTACTTCACCAGTTGAGCGAATATCATTTTCTTAAAAATAAATTTTCAATTTCTTCACAAACAGCTCATCGTACAAAAAAAGCTGTAGGCCTACGTACCTCTCATTAGAATCTAGATATTCCATCAAAATTATTTTCTATTAACAAATATTTAAGAATAGAAAAAGGAAAGTAATATTTGACTCTGCGTAATATTGCGTCTGAAATTAATTTTTATCTTCGAAGAACGCGTTAGGAAAATATTTGTTGTACCATACCCGATGACATATGATGACGTTTTAATGACATTTTTATGTTAAATCTGAGTTTTACGTTAAGTGTCGTTAAAAGTTGAAAGCAAACATTTAAATAACATTTTCCCACAAACAACTATTTCAATTAGGTATCGTACTGACAGGCACGTAGATGACTTCCAAATTACGTGAACATTTCTTGGATGGAGTTGGAAAAGTCTTATCGAACAGTGCGCACATAAAAATAAACAACCGCTCACACACTACACTTAAGAGAAAGCCTTTCTGCCTCCGTCCAATGCTTGTCGGTCTGATAGATAACTTGAGGCGTGCAAATGTTCCTTGCGTGGGTTTGGGGTCCATTGCTACAGCGCAATCCGATACCTCGATCTTCAAAAACTGATGGTGTCGTGTAACGCGCGATGTTTCAAGTCTCCAGCCAGACACTCATTCAAGTGTCCGTATACAGTGAACCGAACCGAGCGTTTACTGGATCTGTCTGTACCAGATACAGTGTCCAAATGACGGTTTATTTTCCAAAGAAACTGTTTTTATTTTTAAAGAATCTTTTTCTGTTTGTTATATTTATTAACATCGGACTTTAATTGTTTAAAAAGCAGCTCATGCGACTACTATTCATTAACATCGGACTTTCATTGTTTAAAAAGCAGCTCATGCGACTACGTACGTGCCGAGATAAGATAAGGAAAGTAGGAAGAGAGAAAGATTAAGACAGAAAGAAAAACCAAAAAGGGAAAATAGATAAAAGGAGAAAAAGACAAAGAAATAAGGATAATGGAACGGAAACAAGATAGAAATGCATTTAGGTACCAGAAAGAAGGAAAGAAACGCAGAAAGGAGGGAGAAAGAAAGAAAGAAAGAAAGAAAGAAGGTTACGTAAAAAGAAAATATAAAGAAATTAAGAGGAAGCATGAAAGAAATCTTAAAGAAAGGAGGATGAAAAAGAAATACGTGAAAGTACGAATATATTCCTCCGAATTTTACAAACACAATGAAAGAAGACTTTGAAAAAGACGACATAAACAAGAAGGGATCTGAAGTTGGAAACATCATTCAGGGGGGGGGGGGGAAGGGCAAATAGTTATTTTCATTTTTAAAATCATCGCCAGCTGCAGCGCCTCTACCGGCGACCACGTAGGTCTTCCTTTATTTCAACTTTGCACTCGCTCGGCCGTTGGCTGAAGATTCCTGTCTTCTGTAGTCTGGTAGATTTTCCACCAGGGCGATGAACGCCAGAAGACAGCAATCTTCAGACTCGCAGTTGTGGAAAAACTAAAATCCTACAAGGGGTTAGTTGTTACGACAAGCGAAGGATTAATCGCCACCTGCCCAGTTATTTATTATATTTGCTAATGATTTTATACAGGCAACAAATAAGTGATTCTTTCAGACACGAAAACGAACAGACAAACAAACAAACAGGGCAGCGGCGAAAGGAGTTTTGGTTAAAGTAATCTACGGAAAGTTTCAGCAAAGATATTCGGTAAATTTTAAATCGTTGACTGTGTTTTATTAAGTTTCATAAAGTTTTTATATTTGTGTAAATAAACAGGTAGTATTATGCAACGCCTTTTTCGTGTTACATTTTTTCAAACGATTCACTTGTTACAGAACCACGTCACGTGTTCTCCGATGCAGAACGATCTAAAACCTTGAGCAACAGGCTATATACTCCCTGCATCCAAATTTTACTATTGGCGGACGAGAAAAGACGTCATAAATCAAGTTTATCAGTGTGATGTCAAAAATGTGATCATTTTTAGCTAGTGTGGTGCGAAAAACAACGTACTTCTTCATTCCTTAAACGGAAAATCAAATTATCCACCTCCAGCCCACAAATTTCGAGTCTGGCTCCATCAAGAACGATGTTGAGATGTTTTTTTTTTTTTTTTACTAATTTAAGTGATGTTATTAGTTAAGTACATGAATCATTCAGCGGCTTGTTTTCCTAAGATACGAAACCAGACTCCCGAAAGGTTAAAACAGATTAAATATTCAGGTCACATAAACCGACCACGGTTCGCAACCGAGGCTGTTAGAAATTTCCGCTCGGGTTGGTTTCGTTCGCCTTATACTCTAGAATAAAGTTTAGATTTTGGATACTTTCCGAATTATGAAATTGCCAACCCACATCCTCCTGCTGTAACAAATTTTCGTCAGCCAATGAGAGATAGTTGTTCAGTCTAGAAGAGGTGTAACTCTCAGTCTCAATCAGAGCTCACCAATTTGAAATTTTTTCGTCTTGCAAAAAGAAACTCGTCTTTAAGAGTGCGTCACTCAACAACACTCTTGAGTCAATTTAGTGTACTACAACCATACGAAGTTAGAAAGAAATGGTGTAGCTGTCTGGGTAATTTTACCAACAGAAACATCAACAAGGTTGGTTTTAATTATTTTCCTTAACGCACACGAAAATAAATATTATAAATGAAGCTTAATATGTAATAATAAACAGTACGAACGTTGACAGAGCTGTACGTTAACAAATGAACAGAAACAAAGAATGATGAAATGGCGTTTAACAGCTGATCAAATTCTCACGCTATTTCCACAGTGTGAAATATTGCCTACATTGCAGGAACGTATTTTAATTCAGAATATGACGACACAAAACGAGAAAAATTGCATTACCGAACTAAATTTTGCAGTCTGCTACCTAAGTAAACGGGAAAGTTCTTTGTCATGAGAATAAACAAGTTAAAGTTGGTCGTACTTACCAGCGAAGAGCAGTCCAACACGTTCACTTCAAGGCATATGCATAGAAGATGTTTTTGAGTTCATTCAAAAGCACATAATCCACCTTCGCGCACACGATATAATATTAAAGTTGATTAAAATTCACGACGCGTTTAGATTTGTCACATTCAACTGAATAACTTGTTTGCAACACTCATTTTCGTAATATCTTTACAAAGTCACTACACTTTCTTGATTAGAATTCGTCACGTGGATTTTCTTCATTAGCATAATCATCCATTTCGACAAAACAGAGACCAATAACGTATTGCAGGGGTCAGCAAACCTGCGGCCTGGTGCCGGTTGTGGCCCTCGCAACATTTATAAGCGGCCCGTCACACGATTTCGAAATTTACCTTTATATAAGTGCAAACATTTTTTAAAAAATATTTTAATGAAAGTAATAAAGTTCTTCAGATGCACATCTACAACGTAAATTTCCTTTATTGACCAAAGGTAGCCTACATTTACGTGTTCTTCAAACAATATGACATTTAATAATAAAAAATTACTCTCGTTTTATAAAAACAATTACTCGAAATCAAAAAATATCCAAAATCTAAAACAACCGTATTTAAAAATAATCTCATTTATATGGGGAAATATATATATCTTTATTTATAGCGAACTCTAAGTTAGAGAAACAATTCCCCTTACTGTCCATCACATTACTTTTAAATTTCTACCCCCCGACGAGTATACAGATGGACATTGCGGCCTAAGCTTACAAAATTGGTGTCGAACCCTGGTCTATTATGTCTTCATTAAAATCTCCTTCAGTCAATCCATCCTTTTCCTCCTTTATTTCTAAATCTTAATTTAATACTCTCTTTGAGACAAGATTTTATAGAATTCTTTCAACATGCTTGCCTCATTCATTCCTACAGTCTAAATTTCTGTCTTCATTAATTTCTAATATCTTCACGTCTCTTTTAACCTTTGAATGTGAAACACGTGCCACTATACACTTAAAAATTTTGTAAACGATACAACAGGAATAAAGTGTGTAATAAGTTGCTTAATATAAAGGAATATTTAGCTTATAAGAGAATAAAACGTACCAACATTAGATATTTCAAAAATTATATAAAATACATGTTCAAAATGAAGTTTAATTAGTAGAATAAAATTAACAAGGTAAATTATTGAATAATTTTTTTTTTTTGGATGTTATCCATCGTCTAATAAGATAATAAAATTTAACGACGTTTCGGAGATGGGACTCAATCTCCGTCTTATTCTGGACTAAAAGACCGTATATTCTTCGTGGATTTTCCTGTGTCTCTCCAATCAAGTTATGAGATATTATTCTACCTTAAAACAGGCCACCATCCTTAAATTCCACGTCTTCATTAGTTCATCATTTTTCCAAAGTCGCTCCATGTTCACTAACATATCATATGTGGGCTGGAAAATTAGTCCATTAGCGGCCTACCTCCACAGAGAACGAATCTCACCCACGAATGCTACGTAATCCAAAAATCTCGTTAAAAAAATAAATTATAATCCAATACGCCAACCGAGATGAGAACCCACTATCTTCATAATACGATGAAGGAATACTGTCAAGATCATTTCGATGATCACTTCAAAATCAATAAACTAAACTTGTCCGGCAAAGAATATCAAAATAGTACGGAATGAGTACTTGTTTATGAAATACAGCCGTTCTGTACAACCCAAAGTAACTTCAATGAACTTCAAAATAGTTTCTCCATCTGACCAAGTAGCCCATACTGTGGTCAGAGGTCAGAGAACTTCACATGAAGCACAGCAAAGCCTATTACAAGATCTTCGAGTACTCTGACCTTCCGATGGCGTTCTACACGCCACATCTCCAAAGTCACTGTTGCACTGACATCCGAAGACACTGTTGAGTAACAAAGCGTTCAAATCAACGGCCTCAGTTCCCAGGACTACACAAAAATGACCTTGGTTGTGAGGGTTGCCTATCTCCTAGGAAAACCACGATAGACATACGTACCGTCCACCGACCAGTAGAAAATCCCTGCTAGGAATTCTAAATACGAGCATGGCCAAGATTTCGCGGCGAGTGACGACCAATCCTACAAGCATTCGTTCCACAACCACTGAACAGACAACAGGCTTTCATGTGTTCTAATGGGAATAGCTTTAAGATTTAATCTAGAACACATTAGAGGTGCACTCACTCACTACAAACTACAAACTACTCTTTACTGTTTGATGTTTTCAGTCTGTGTGTAGTAATGTAACTCTGTGGCGTGTCACACTTCCCACCAATAGCAGCCCTCTAGTTCACCTGATAAGTAACATTCCCCCCGCACCGCACCAGAAACGACTTCTCCTCCGCAGGACTTTGTCACGGCCAGTGGACAGCCCCATAATATATTCATTTCTCACGCTAAATCGTGTAGAATACCTAAAAATATAGATTATGAAAATAAAATGGGAGGTCCAGAGTGGATACCACTTCCTCAAATTAGAGCATAACTGCGGGGGTTTTTTTCCGAAGACAGTGGGCAGCTAAGTTATCAACTCTGCAGAAACAACAATGCAGCGTACAGTTACTAGCTAAATCAATTGGTTGGCTGGCCGATTTCTTATTTACTTAGCCACTGACCAAAGTTAATATAACTGAAAATGTTCCTACTCCACACAGTACGAACGTGTTCAGCTTGTAATATATTCTAGTTTTCAAAAACCCAATTCAACCTCATCAAAACGCAACACAATCCTACCAAACCTTTCCTGCTTTAACAGATACACTAAAAGATTAGCTCACCGTAAGCATTAAAACCTAGGTTTAAAAAAATGTATTTCTTTACATAACGTAACATACTAGAATCCCGTCCCGTCCAGACCATGTAAACACACTGTAAATATAAATTCCTCCCTCTATAAATACATTATAGAGCGTAAAGACAACTCATTCTGTTAACTAACCTGTAACGAATTCCATTGCAACGCATTTAATTAGTAACACCAGACGCACTCACATCGAAAACCAGACATCACACGGAGTATGAGAAAACTGACAAAACGTATTTCTGTACAGTTGTTGTTTTTTGCACAACTCGACGCAAAAAAAAACCTGTTTCGTCTATCCTGCCCCCTCTCTAGAATCAGAGCCACTGCTCGCATGCCAGCAGTCTGAACACGTCATCGATATCCGAGTCTATTCAGTTTACCAACATAAATTTCTATCTCGAAAAATTTCCCTTTTTCTATCGCCAAGCAAAATTGTTACCAAACAGATGATATTCTTAATAGATAATTAACAGATTCGCAGTTAAATTGAGGAACGCCCAGTAGTAAGTATTCTGAATAATTTTATCATGGAATCTGTTGTTGATCTGTGTGCAACATATGAAAATGCAAATCTGTGCGTGTGCTTCGCTTATAAGAACTATTCATACACAGTTTATATCTGAAAAAAAAAGTGACAAGGAAATTCATGTTACGAAGCAATATTTTGAACGCTGTGCCCAATTCGTCATCCCTTATTGATAGAATAACAGAATATTGGATCGCAACCGATTCTCTGTTGTTGTTGTTTTTTTTACTTTCATTATGTAACCAACCATTAAAATGTTAAATCAGTGATGTTACCAATATGATTCTTCATAAGTATGTTTGCGACTAATTTAATTTCTGAAATTTGATTCAGTAAAGAATGTAAAATAACAAACATGCTTTTTAGACATGAACAATTAAGGTTAGAATTTGAGTTTTCAAAATATGGTCCAACCTTTGTTACGGCGAAAATAACTACTTATTTAGACTCAACAATCTAACTATCTAGATGGCTTATCGAACCCGAAGGTT